GTGGTGGTATGTATCATCGAGCTCTCCTAGTACAGTAGATCTAGCGGTTGTAGTGTGTAGTAGTGTGCCACGTAGAAGGCACCTGTGCATGGCATGCTAGATGTGGGTGATGCTCTGGCTGTTTTAAAAAAAACAACAAAAAAAACTCTTCCTTACTAACTGGTAGTAGTTTGCATGTTGCTGTTTGTTATTCTTGTTCTCTTTATGAGAGGACAAGATGGTTCTGGGTTGGTTTCGCGATAATACTTCTTTTGTTGTCTTAATGGAAGACAATAGCCTGACTTGCAAAGCTTGATGGTTCATGCATAATGCATTTTTTCTTTGTGCTATTCCCTTGTTTTCCCATCTTATTTTAAGACTATAAAGCTCTGAAAGTTGTGTAAAATGTGTTTTTGTATTGTGGTGGTGTGTCTTTAACTTTCATCATAGTCAAAGAAGCTGTTTGCATCCTGTGTGTAAACGCCTTACACCAGTTCTGTGTGAACAGGTGTTTACTGGCTGCTATTGTATCACAGCATTTTAGTGATTGTGCTGCAGGAATTCTATGCAGATGCATTAATCCACCCTCTTCTCTTCTCCTCACTAACAAAGTTTCAGATTTGGGTGAAAAGCTATATCTATTGTGTAATTATTATATGAATGATGCAATTTACATGATAATATAACATTAATGGACATTGTTGGGTTGGTTGAGGTGTCAGCGTGTCATGTTCTGTGTTCTGCAGGTGCATGAGAAGGTGAGCTCTGATCTCCGCGTGGTCCCCGAGGACGAGCCTGTGGACTCCGACACAGAGGCTGAGAACAACCTGGTGGAACGCATCAAGTCCATCAAACAGGAGAAGTGAGAATGCTGTCTGTATTATTTCTCTGTTCGCCGCGGTGTAGCGTCCTCCTCCAGTCTCTCATCTCTCTGATGTCCTTGTCGTCTGTGTCCCTGCAGAGATGATCTGGCCTGCAGACTGCCAGAGATGGAGCAGCCCGGTTCAGACCAGGAGAACTTTGACTCCGAGGCCTCGCTGAGCTCCGAGAGCCTTTTGGACGAGCAGCAGCGCTCTTCTGTTCACGGCTCGGAGCCTGACGGTCGGTATTTACAGTCTGGCCCGTCCTTCCTTCTACCTCTTTCACTCTCACTCACCTGTGGGTTTCTGACCAGACTAGACCTGTTTTTTGTGGTGCAGGTCTGGACCAGTGATGGTGATGGGGGCGGTGACGTCTGCTCTATAACCAAGCAGGTTGGAGGAACAGCAACCGTGTTTGTGTGTGTTTGTGTTTGTCTGCAAACATCTGCACACCCATGTATGCATGATTATGCATGTGTTGCACAGAAGCATGCTCAAACTTTACCCAAATTAATCAATTGAACATTCGACAAAACTTATCCAAGCAGATGTTTGCGTATTTGTGCCTCACCAAACATCATTTTTGGTAGATAACATGGTTGCATGCTCTTCCATTGCTCTTTACCCTCTCAGTATTCTTGTGTGAACTTAACAAGCAGCTCTAAGAGAAAACATGTTCATCTTCCTCTGTCCTCTCTCTCTCTCTGCCAGGACGAGGTGGCCCCCAGCTGAGGAGATACAGGCCAGTTTGTCCACCCAAACCACCAGACCTGGTCCAGGGACCTAAAGTCCCCGGTGGGCTCGTCTCTTGGCTGAACCTCACCCCCGCTAGCTCCACGTCCTCTGTGTCCAGCTGCGTTTCTTCAACCTCTGACTCCTCCACAGTCTCCTTCAGGCATCTACTGCAGCGCCGTACCCCGATCATCCCCGGCACAGTTAGGCTCCCGCACGGCGTCCTCGCCCAGTCTGCAGCCTCAAAACCAACTCCGAATTATACCCCTCCTCAAAATCGAGCATCAAAGTACTTGGCCAGGAGAAGAGAGTACCCAGGCCGCCGTAAAGACAGCACCCAGTCCCTGTATGTCGACAGCCCTGAGTGTGACCTGTTGTTGCATTTCTCCTCCTGCCCTCCCTCCGCTTCCTCCTCCACCTCCTCCATGGTAACACCCTCTCCTCAGCACCAGCACCGCGATGTACAAGCCACGACGGGTCAGAGACGTTTTTCTGACCCAGACATACCTTTTATAGACGATGGCGTCTGACCAGGGCAGAACAGAAACGATAGACGAGTGAAGAGGATTAGAGGCAACAACGTTTGACTAGCCACGGGTGACATTGATGGATCGTAGAGAGCCAGGAGAGGATAAGAATCCAGAATCGCAGTAGAGGAACACAACCTGTGCAGTACCCACGGAGAATCACAGTGACACAAAACCAAGGCTGTTCCAGTCGCTGTCGTCAGTGGGAACTAATCAAGGAACTGCAAATGTGTCTGAAGTCTTGTCTGCGATGATAGTAAAGAAATAACTGGACAAGATGTTGCCACGCACCTTTTCTATCATTTTAATATATTGTGGATACTGTTGAGTTGGGACAAAGGCTGTGTTTTCTGTAGCCTCATAATGATGGACCAGCAATTTAGTTTTCTTTCTCTTGTTGTTGTGTGTTTTTTTTTTTTTTACACATTTGTGCTAATTCAAGGAGACATTGCAGGTTCCAGCTGCACTTTTCATTTCTTAGTTCTCTGAATGGGTGAAACGTGCTTATTGATGTGTTAGCTAGTGCCTTGGTATTGTACAGAAAGTTGATAAAGAAACTAATGTTCTGGACAGCGCTCACACCGGGAGGGAGGGTTATTTTTGGGGGTTAAGAGAGGGTTTCTTTTGTGACACTTGTGTTTATTGTACTGAACCGACATGAAACAAGGACCTCGACGTGCACATTGTGACTTTTGTATCGGTGCCTCATCAGAACGGTTGCGTTGGTCAACATCATCTTTCCACCTACAGTTTACTACAAACCCCAGATAGGAAGTCATTGCCTCACATAGGGAAACGGGAGCAGCACACGCCACTTTTATCCTTTTTGAAACCGCAAAAACACAAACCCAGCCATGATGCAACAAGCCGTGCCACGATGTCTTTAAAGCTCCAAGTCCTTGAACTCACCTGAGTGACTCACTCAGCTGGATCGTACTTGCCATCCAAAGTAAACGGTCCCATAAGGAGCAGGTTCTGCTGAAGCACAACTTTGGCCAACTTTGTTTGAAACGTAATACTAATGTTCCTCTCTGACTGCTGTTGAATGATGTCTGTTAGTTTGTCTGGATTATGAGGAAGATGTCCTGATGTGTAATGTGTGTGTTGGAACTGAATGATGTGAACTGTAATGGTTATTAGTATTAACATGACAATACAGAACGTGATGCTTGTTACATCTGCTGCTGTGTGTTAATGAACTCCGTGAATTAGTCTCTTCCATTCAAGGGTTGACGGGCGCACACTTTTCCTGTTAACACTATTTTGAAGAAAACAATGTAGTTAGTAACACATTAACAAATGTATTCTAAATTAATTCATGTCCTATTTTCTAAAAGAAAAGTTATATTACGTAGGACTTAAACTTCAACTGTTCCAGTGAATCCGCAGCGGTAACTTGATAAATCAGGAGTCGTCTCAAAGGTAAGTAGAGCGCTGTGTTTTAACATGATGGTTAAAGGAGTTTAAGGTAAAAGATAGTTTATTGTCTGCATGGAATCACGACATCGTCTTCGGCAGATTACCTTCTACAAGACAATTCATAGCCGTTCGAAATTTTGTACTAACTTGAAAATGGTTTGGAATTACCTGTGACTTGATGGAGAAACAGACGAAGCAAAGAAAAGTGTCCACATGTTGCTTTTCATCCACACGGGGAAATATATGCGCCTCTAAAATTGGAAGACATTTTTGGAAGCACACAAGACGACACTTGAGGATTTACAGGAATGCCTGAATGTAAGAATTATAACTCAAGCTAATATATATTCAATTGCTAGTAAAGTGACAGATATGTAAATCTTTAAACTATTATTCTATTATAATTTTGACTTGACTGTTAATAGTAATTATTTCAATTCTAAATGCATGCAAATTGCATAAATACATAAAAGAAACACTACCTACCTAATGAGGTATACATAAAATAGATGAGCACTGTAAAATGCCTAAAGTTTACAGTATATAAACAGTAGAATCTCACTATCACTCAATAATACAAGTTACTGGAGAAGAATAAAAAAAGCAATTTAGTTTTTTGGTATTGTTAGTGATGGTTAAAGGTGGTTAAAAGTTTTAAGCTTGCAGGTGGACTTTTTAGCAGACGTTATTTGTCAGTTAGTCCATATTATTCATGCTCTCCCTCATCAGTGGGGTTTACATACAGTCTTGGTGGCAGAGGTATAAAAATAGATTGGACATCTGCTCTGGGTCCGAAAACCTGAATGGCATTAATCTCTAAATTATATATTAGTTAAACTGGTATTATTTTAGAAATTATATAAAATTATACATAAACAGTAACGAGAATAAAAAAGAACAAAGAATAGCAAGGCGTTTCAAAAATAAGGAGCATCAATCAAGAATCAGTCTTGCCATTTCACGAGGCTAGAGTACATTTTTTTAAGCAGAGGAAAATTATTTGAAATTATTACAAACCAAACAAAAGGCGTATATTTCTCAAATTGCTATAACAAATATTATATTCACCCATAAGAAGGATCATATTAATTATCAGAAATAGATTCATAAATAAAAAGGAGACATGTCACGTCTACCCAAAATCTTTTTCATACCAGATGAATCATACAGGCAACATGACCAAACATATGTATTTGTCATTTGTTTCGTTTTTATTGACATAAATCTCAACCTCAAAAAATGTGTTGGCTAAAAAAGGAGACTAAATTAAGCGTTTAAGAGGAAACCTTTATTTTTAAATATAAAAATGTAATTGGGAATCCTATCATCGGTTAAAACGCAGGTTAACCCTGTTGGACTAAATATGAATTCACTGAATAAATTAAGAATAACGCTGGTTGGACCGAGGTACGACCGTAAACTAGAATGGGTTGATACGCTCCGCTCGCCTCGTCGCTGAGCTGGTGACGTCGTAATGCTGCGACGGTGCGTCAGCTTCAAACATGGCTTCACGATTAGAAATCAATTTTATCAGACTATTGTCCCGCTGTGAGTCTATAGCGTCTGAGAAACGAGGAGAAACCGAATGGAGATTAGAAAAGGTAAGACAACGTCAACACGCAAGTCATTTTTATATCGTTCAGCTCTGACCTTCAACGGCTAACGTTTAAGTTAGCATGGCTGTTGTTGTTGTTAGCAGCAGCTGTGAGCCGCCGAGTCTGTCAGCCACGTCGTCACTGAACCCACCGACAGGACTTTATGAGATGGTGCCTTTCTGTGGCGTTAACCTCTCCGACACACGTTACACGTGAAACACAATGTAGCTCGTGTTACAGCTGTTAACTATGCTATGCTAGCTATGTTAGCTTACTGCATTAAGGACACAGCTAACACGGTTACACAGAATTAGTAACAGCTTCATATTCACACTTAAGTTTCCAGTTTACTTGGTACACCTAGTTCACACTAAATAGCTGAACAGTCCTGCAACTAATCCGCCCTTTATTGAGGTTATAATGTTCAGGTTTTGTTGAAACCGTTATAGCAAGGGTGTTAATTAAACTTTACATTCTCATTTTGGAGGTGCAGCTTGTGATGCTGTTGAACAGAATTGATTTACAAGAGTTGTTTCCTTTGTTCACACTATTTATATCAATGAGAGTTAAACTACAGCCTCCAGAATGACCATGAAGTTGAATCAGAACTCTAAAACAGTTCCAAAAACAGCTGAACATATAACCTTTTATTAAAGTAGGATTTATCGCAGTGCTTTTGTGTTACACTGCATTGGTTTGGGCTTAGTGTCCCAACTGCAGTATGCTTGTCTTGTTTAAAATAAAGTAGGTGTTAAACTATATAATCATCCAAACAAATGTCACCTAACGTGTATACAATGACTGCTCTTCTGTTGTCTGTCCTCTAGTATGTTGGTGCCCTGGAGGAGATGCTGGTCGCTCTGAGGAAAAGCCTGAGGTACCGTCTCTCTCAACTCTCATGTATCTTAACGTTGTTTTTATTATTGCTAATTTGTAACACACATGTCAATAACAACTTGTGTTTTGTTTTTTTCTCCAGCAAACCAACAGCAGAAATAATGACTGAATATTCACGAAAAGTAGATTTTCTGAAAGGACTTCTTGAGGCAGAGAAGCTGGTCAGTGACAATAATTTACAAACTGCATTTTTTTGTCACTTGGATGTTTATGGCAGTGTTTAAAACATTCTCTATATTTCTTATCTGTTGTATGAACTGTGTATCCCACATACTGTACACAGACTTTTTCTACTATCCTGTTTTCTGATCTCATCTCTCTCCTGTTTTCGTTCACAGTCGTCAACAACTGAAAAGGCGTTGGCTAATCAGTTCCTCGCTCCCGGGCGAACGCCCACAATAGCCAACGAGAGGATGCCGGCCTCAAAAACTGTCCACATGCAGACGAAGGCCCGGTGCACGGGAGAGATGAGGGACGAGCTGCTCGGCACGGTAGGTTCAGATGTAGACTCCTGAGCTAAAGTGCTGAGTAGTCGAGATATAATGGTTCACTTCTGAGATTTACACGCTGTGGAAATAACAGCTGATGGATCTGCGTTGTTTTGGTAAAGGTTTGGTAAAAAACTAAATTGAGAAAACAAATAATAAAGCCTCTATTAAATTGAATTCATAAATGTTCTTCTTTTGTGTCATGACAGGGACTCTCAGGCAAAGGTAAGAAATGTGTTTTTCAGATTCAAAGGTATCTTGAATTCAGTAGCTCGGCTGAAAAATTATACTTTTATATTTAAACAAGCCAGTCATCTGATTGATATTCTAGAAAGATGACGTTCTCCTTTCCTCTCTACAGGCACATCGGAAACAGACTTGCGGAACAGAAGGTAAAGCTGCACATATCATTTCTTGTCATAAAGATCTAACTTCCATTATACTTTATTTATTTATTCATTTATATAAGACTGTAACAAACATTTAGTTGTGACTGTGCCCGCAGTAGAAATCTAAATGTTGTCTTGCCTCGTGCAGAGGTCTTCCTCTGGATGAGCGTCAGTCTGCTGCAGAGCTGGAGGCCGTCCTGCAGCATCACCACAACCTACAGGAGAAGCTTGCCGAGGACATGCTCAACCTGGCCCGAAACCTGAAGAACAACACTCTGGCCGCACAGAACATCATCAAACAGGACAACCAGGTAACTGGACACACAGCTGCCAGTATCGCAGTATTCATTTTCTGCTCCTGTTGCACTAAAACACAGTCTGATAGTCTGAATACGAAAGCCGAGTTGTAGGTGTGAGTGCTCGGCATGCATCTGTATGTTTACATGATCAGCTGTGTGCTTCCCTTTCCCTCCCAGACTCTGAGCCAGTCCATGCGTCAGGCGGACATGAACTTCGAGAAGCTGAAGACGGAGTCGGAGCGACTGGAGCAGCACACCAAGAAGTCCGTCAACTGGTTGCTGTGGCTGATGCTCATCCTGGTCTCCTTCAGCTTCATCAGCATGATCCTCTTCATCAGAATCTTCCCCAGACTGCGGTGATGACCGGCCCGACAATCCCGAACTCTTAGCGCTGCGTCCTCCTTCGTTTACAGAGAAGTAAACCTACATAGGCCTCATAGATCCGCACAGCTCGTCTGTCTGTGTGTGTGTGTGTGTGATGCAGATCAGTAGTGGTCAGAACCAAAACATTTGCACTTTTGAAACAGAAATTCTTCCTCTAAACAAGCTGATGGAAGTTAAAAATGTGGTTTCAAGCATCGGTATACCTTTTTTTTTTTTTTTTTTAAACAGAACATGAATCGAGGTGAAGAGCTTCTTGTTGGAGGTTTTTTTTTTTTTTTTTTTTTGCAACATCAACATAAGTCTTAATAGCCAGACAGCAGAGGCTGAGCCTTAGCGGTTTAAATCCGTCATCAGGTCGGCTGCTAGCCACTCAATACATGCGTGTACTTTCTCACTTAGTGCGACCTAAATAATCTTTCATAGAACAGTTTATTCGCCATGCATACATCTTAAAGAGTTCACAAACCGTCCCACATCTGCTGTGTATTAGCCACGGCTTCAACACTATATCTGAACACTATAATTGAATATGAAAACGTGGACTTATAAACAGCTGTTGGTGTGCTAAAACTTGACTTTAACTGAATTTGGCATTTATAAGCACAATATATACATTTAATAAATGGTTTATAACACTATACTGTTGCTATGAGGACATTGTCTTTGTCAACAATTCTAACTTCCATGAAGACATATTATTATTATTATATTTATATTTACTATATTATCATTCATTATCTGTTTATAGTGCACTTTAGTGTTATGAACCATTCATTACATGTTTATATAGTGCTTATGAATGCTAAATAAGGGGGTTAAAGTGTTTTACTCAAATGTAATATTAATACAAATTGTAAAACAGATTCCAAGCATCAGTTAAATTTTTTTTTATCTTCTACATTATGTTTTGGAGACATTCATTTCGTCGAGGTTTAGAGCGTCGTGCCGTTAGATATTAGTTCACCACTCCTCATTATGTCCGATTTCCTCAGTGATGTTTGTTGTTTATGAATCTGTATGTGTTGGTGGTTTATTCCATAAATGTCCATCAGGTGATGATGTGTGTTATGTTGGTGATGACTGCTGATGTTGATGAAGTAAGATTTTGTTCTCATTAAAATGACTGTAACTGCGTGTCATTCAGAGTGTTTTAATAGTGCATACGGTCAAAAGAAATGAATTCCACAAAAGTATAAACACTTCCTTTAATTGTTTTGCCATTGTGTGTGTGTGTGTGTGTGTGTGTGTGTGAGAGAGAGTGAGAGAGTGAGAGAGTGAGAGAGTGGGAGAGTGGGAGAGTGGGAGTGGGAGCTGTGTATGACTTCCTCTTGATAAAAAAAAAAAATACCGAATTGCGCCCTCTGTTGTTGAAAATGTCTGCTGCAGTGACTTCATGTGGCCAGAGTGTGTCAGTCACATCCTGGACATATGAATGTATGTCAGATACATGGCCTCAATGACCCTGGTGGCCTGATCAAGCCATGGATCCTAAATTAACCCCGCTACTCATTTAGAAGGGGTCTGATGAAGTATGACAAAAAAAAAAAAAAGGCAGTTGGCCACAGAAAATCACACCGTGACTCAATGCGACTTCTGGCTAATGTGTGCTTGTGTCGGCTTTTGTTCCTACTTGATGTAGCCTGTGGACATTTGGGGATCACTGCTTGGAAACTGTGATTTTTTTTTTTTTTTTCTTTCCGGCAAACGGATGCACCGAAGAAGCTTCAAGGAGGCTAACATTCCTGCTGTGTTGTCAGTCTGACTGTCGTCTGAGGACTGTGGAGCTGACTAGCATGTCCAGGCTTGCAGCTCTGCCCCTGGCCCTTCCTCTCTCCTCTCTCCCCGGCTGCTGCCCCTCCTCGGGCCTGCCGTGTATTTTAGGATCCCTGGGGGGTATTTTGCCTGCTGGAAGCTGAGGTATGCAGGCCACCAGGAGACCAAATGAGGTTGTGTCACTGCGCAGGATCATCATCCCTCAGTTAAATCACAGCTGTTTGCGCCTCCATTCTCAGGCCTTTGCTAATGCTCTCTGGCTGTGTGATTGGCTCTCTGAGGCTGCAGCTACAGTACATGACTTCATCAGCGGTGTGGTTTCTCATGTTCATTGTGGTTTTAGGATCCCATTAGCTGAAACGGACTGTTTCGTCTCAGTTTCCTACACAGACTCCAGAGTCTGGGACGTGTTAAGTACGAGTTACTATATTCAGCAAATGCCTCTAGATCTGTGGAGTCCATTAACGACACTTTTAACCTCTGACCCCGGGAACCTGAATGAGTTCCTTCCTGCACTCTTTTCCCACAGGGACACCCTGAAAATATTGCTCGACTCTCTTTACTAAATTTAGCTGAATCAATTCAGTGCCAATGAGAAATGAGAGCCTTTATGAAGCGGTTATAAGTTGCAACCAGCGGTAAAAAAAAGAACAACACAACGGTATTTTTCTTAAGTGTTTCCCAATAGTTACGTTAGACTTTGATAATCAAGAATCTGCATACAAATATATGATTCATTTCATGCATTGTTGTAGATTTAAGTGTCTAGCCACACAGTAATTCATCAGTAATAATTTAACTATATTATATAATACCCTGACAGGGAACATTGTGCCGTACTGAAGTTATATTATGAATGCAGGGTATTTTAACAGTGTGGATTTGCTACACTCATTAACTTTGGGTAAATAAATACCTCAACGTATCTTCCTACACTGGTTATTAATGGTTACGGAATCATTTCCACTGCTTTATAGAGTTGCAAGCCATAGATAAGAACAATGTTTGTGTAACGGTTAAACAGCAGGACAAAGCGATTTTTCTCAACCTGGGATCCCCCCCCCCCCCAAAAAATCATCATGTTGTACCGCTAATTTTTGTGCTGGTGTGTGTGTGTGTGTGTGTGTGAGTGAGTGTGTGAGAGTATGCTTTAAATTGGTTTGATCCTTCCAAACAGCAGAGAGCAGAGAAATTGTTACGCATGAGAGAACTTCCATCCCCTCTCAGCTCAGCGCTGCGGCTGTTAAACACCAACACTTCACTCTTTTTAATTTCGTTTTTGGCTGCAGCTACACTGAGGATTTGGGTTGCCTACAGAGATGAAGGAGATTTTCCTTTCATTCTCTCTTTTTTCCATGTACTTCCTTCAGGGAGCACAGGGGTAAAGAGGGCTTTTCTTTTTTCGTTCTTTCTGTTTTTCTCCTTGCCAAAGTTTAGAATGTGCTGTAATGTTAATGACCTAATGGGAGCGTAAAAGGCTACACTTATTAAGCTTCTACTGTGACTCACTATCTCGCGCACACATACTCCGATTCATGGAAAACAGAACTGATCTCTCCGTTACTCTGAGTCACATAGGAGCGGTTTGGAATTGCTGAGAATTTATACAATTAACAGTTAAATCTCCATGAGTCAATAAACTCCTTGATTTGCTTTTATTGAGAAACTGCTTTTATGGTTTAATTTTCCAGTTTTTAGTTCATAATTTCCAGTATTTCTTAAGGTCAGACATGGAAATCGTGTGTGCATCTAGATAAAGGTTAGTAGGGTTAAAACACCAGAGACAGTGATGGAAATAAGTCAAATTTTACTGTTCTATCCCCCGAAAAAGTGTTGAAAGTTGTCAGTAAATCAAACCAACTCTGGTGCAGTTAACCTTTATTCACAGAGCGGTATTAGAGTTTACATGGCACTACTGCATTGGTAAACTTATATTAAAACATTAAAACTTGTATTCGCTGAAGTTTGTGTCTTCTGATCACAGTTGCACCAGTGTCGATCTTAATCTTTCTTGTCTACACAGGTGCTGTGGAAGATTCACTTTGTTTTCATTTTGCCGTTACTGTTTCCCTCGCCAGGACCCACCTCCTTGTGTGTGTGTGTGTGTGTGTGTGTGTGTGTGTGTGTGTGTGTGTGTGAGTGTGAGTGAGAGACTGTTTCTGTATCTCTGTCTGTCTGTGTGGTCGTGTTGTGTTTCTGGCTCTTCCTCTGTCTGGTGAGGGCTCATCTCAAAGCTGTCTCACACTCACTCACATGTTGGCCTACAGCAGTGTTGTGGCAGCTCTCTGACATGGAGCGTTCAGGTAGCTGAAGGACCACTTTGACGCCTCTTACTGTATCTGTGACAGCTGAGGATCCCGTTTGATTTCAGGGGAAATCCACCAGGAAGCAGATCACAGATAAACCAAGCAGCCATAACAGTGTGTGTGTGTGTGTCTGTACACGCATGCGTGTTTTGGTCTGTGCATGCATGTGTGTTTATTGCACCCCAAAGACCTGTATGTCATCCTCTGCAGCCCCCTATTGCTCTGTTGCTCTATCACTCACAGCCTTGTGTCAACATGTGGGTTAATGCACTGAACCTTCCAGCCTGTTTGTCAGGCTGCGTGGTGCTGAAAGAGTCCACAGTGAAAGGAACAATCTCCCTGCTGGATTCTGCTCAGCTCTTTGATGTGTAGATCCCAGGTGGCGCTGCTGCTGAGAGGTTTAATTTCTTGGTTCTTTGCTTATTCACCTTTCCGGCATTCAGGATCTCCCAGCGGGCAGGACTGGTGAGCGCGGCCGTTGCTGGTACTACAGGAGGCTTTGTGGCTTGATACTGAGAAGAAAAGCTTGTCCACCTCTTAATTGACCATAAAGGAATAGTTACATTTTAGGAAAAATGCTTATATGCTCTCTTGCCATGAGTTTGCTACCTGCAACTGGAGTAAGTGTATTTAGCTTAGCATGAAGACCGGAGACAAAGGGAAACTAATGTGTAAAAATGTCAATTTAACATTTCATAGTTTTTGCAAACAGCAGAGACTGCAGCAAGTTTCTGCTCCAGGCCAAGAAATAGTCTGGCTCCAGCTTCTCATATGTTAGGATTTGCTGCTATTCTCTGCTTTATATTATACAAAATTAAATATTTTGCAAGCAAGTCATTTTTTTTCCTAAAAATGTCCAACTATTTCTGGTATTTAAAACTAGAATTGGGACACGAGGAAATAAGTCGCAGCTGACTTGGATACAGCGCTTGTGTTTCTCTGAGTCGTGGGCTGGGAATCGCTGCTCAGACGGGGAGGAGGCCTTGAGGGTAAAAACAGTCAAGGACGTAAAGGTGCTGTAGACAACATGAAGTGGGAGCAGTTGAGTCTTTGGGCTCCGCCTGATGCCGGAGCCAAGACTGGGATGTGTCCTGGGGGATGAGGGGTGGGTAGGGGTTCATCCTATAGGAATAATGTGCTGTTCAACAAAAGTGTTAGGTTGGAACCAGGCGCACCTCTCCTGGGCCTCCTCAACGTTCTCCCCCAGGAGGCCCCAAGCTGCCACAGCAGGTGCAAGGCCCCTCCTGGAACAAGGGAGGCTCGTCAGGGTAACAGATTAGGGGTTTATGCATGTGTGTGAGTGTATGTGTGTGTGTGTGTGTGTGTCTAAAATCTTTTTGTATTTGCTTTCATGTGCCAGGTTTCTCTCTGGTTTCCCACTAAACCTGCATATGCTTTTTATGCAAATGCACCAAAAACTGAAACCGCAAAATGTACCAAAAACAAATGAACCTGCTTTTCAGTTCAATATGGACAAAATCAAATTTGTGTGTGTGTGTGTGTGTGTGTGTGTGTGTGTGTGTGTGTGTGTGCGTGTGTGTGTGTGTGTGTGTGTGTGTGCGTGTGTGTGTGTGTGTGTGTTGATAAAAGGCCTAAATCCTTGGTGGAGCTGTTATTAGTTAGGATGTTTGAGACCAAGGTTTCTTTCAAGGGTAGTTTCAACATCATTCATCTCATGTTTTGTCCACTCAGTTAGTATGTCAAGGCCAACCAGATGGATCTTCATTAATTACAAATACAAAAGTGCCACATTTTGGCAAAATAATTTTGTCTCCAAGGTTTCCTGCAACATGTTGTGTTGTCAGTGTAGCCTCTGAGAAAATGCAGCCCAAAACAGAATAGTATGATTTCAAGAGATTCTTACTCTGTTGCAAATCATTTTATTTTGTAAATGTAACATATTTTGTGATCGATCATATTTACAGACCCGTTTCGTGAGTGCACTAATCCTGCCTCCACACGGGTAAAAATGGAGTAGACGGAGCTCTCCTCTCAAATCCATCATATTCCAACCAATCCAGATCAATAGTGATGCTGCTTGTTTGGCTGTCAG